AAGGATGATGAATAAGTATGTTAAATATATCACGATCTGCAAAAATACATTGGTGAGTTATATTCGATGAAAATGCTAATGTTATTAATAATGAGTAATCATGATGACACATCCGTAGGTTGAAATTTGATTTGCTTTATGAGGCTAATAATTGTATTCCTCCCTTTACATATTTTATTTATAAAAGAGAATCAACACTTACGCAATTATCCTTTTTAATCTCAATTTTTATTTTATTTTAGAAATAAAGGAATTTGTAAATATCTTATTAATCTCAAAATCAAATTCTTTATAAAAATTATATAAACAAATAATTTTGAAATTAGCAAAAAATATATCTAACAAAAAACAGTGTCGTGGATAAAATTTTAATAATTTACAACACAATTGATTTTATCCAAATAACAAAAACTTAAATAATTTTTTTAATTTTTTTTAAAACTTCTTTAATTGAAAAATAGGACATTAATTTTTAAAGAGTAATTTTAAGTTTGGTTTGTAGTGTTTAAATCATAGACCAAGATTTAAAAATCACCACTAATCCTACTTTTCTCACTTTCTTATTATATTATTCTATTTTCATGTAAATATTTTTAATAAAGGATAAAAAAAATTATTTTCTTTGTTGTTGTAGTATATAATAAGAATATAAAATGAATGATGCCTTACAAAGTGTTATTTTCATCTTTTCATTTTTATAAATGTTATCCTTATCATTTTTTTCATTCTACCACATAAAATTTTCTCGACATATTTTTAAATCTAATATAATAATTAACATTATTTCTTTTAAAATTTTGAATTAGAATTGACTTGAAATGAACTGACATGTATATTTTCACGCTTCTCTCATAATATAATGTTGGTAGTGCTTATAACTTCTCAAGTTTAATTTATTAATATTAAAAATAATACATTAATTATTTATATAAAATTAGTTTACCATTTTAAAATTAAATCTTAATAGTATCTATAAGTGTTAAACTATACTGAAGAATTAAATATGTACCTATTAGAAAAAAAGACTAAACAAATAAAAAATTCATAAAATGAAAGAAGAGAGTAATAGTAAATTAAAAATTAAAATAATTTGTTTATAATTTAATAAAGATAAATGCTGATAGATTAGTTAGTGGAGAATTTTAAGGGGTGGCTTTAGTGTCCTATAATAATTTTAAATTTAAAAATAAATATTAAATATGAAAATTTTAATTTCAAATTTTTAATTGTGAAGTGAGGATAGTTATTGATTTCAAAATTCAAAAAAAAAACCATGCATCACGTTAATTAAAAGAATTTTAAGGATTGATTTTAGTGGGTAGTTATTAGTTTAAAATTTTAAAATACAACATATTTATTAATTACAAAAAATGCAGATAATAATAATAATAATCTATCTATATATAATATGAGAAGAAAAAATGTCACATGTCAGCGCCAGAAATTTTTAGAATTTTAAATAATAATTAAATATTATATAACTAAATAAATATTATATAACTAATTAAATATTATAAATAAAAATTTGAAATAAAAATTGAAACATTTCATCAACTTACACAAATAATGACAACTGTCAACATTTTTAAAAACAGATATAAATACTTTTTTTTAAATCCATTTTATAAATTAGCTAAAAAAATATTATTTTGTAAAAGGTTGAAAATTAATTATCATGATAAATATATAAGATAATGCTAAATTTTTTAAAATAAAGAAAATTATTTTAAAAATGATTTTAAATCGATTCTAGAAAATAGGGAATAACTGTATGTGATTCCTTTTTTATGGGAAGTTATCATATATTCTTAATGTGAAATATTTTAACTATCTTTCCGCAACTTCTAAATTTAATATTTTAAAAATAATAAGAAGAATTCACTCTTATTTTAAATAAATAGATCGCTGCATTTATATATAAAATGTTTAATATATTTTAAACATGATAAGAAGAATAATTCATTTATATATAAAATCCTTGCCATTAGAAAAACTAATAAAAATATATGTAAAGCGGTAGTCTATATATCTATATATCTATATCTCATTGTTAACTTTTAAAATTGTCAAAAAATAAAAAGTTAAAAATTGCAAACACAAAAAAAAAAGTTACGTAAAAATGCAAACACTAAAAATAAAAATTGCAAACACTATAAAAACATTGCAAAATCTTACGCTTACAAAAATTACAATTTCAATACCGAATTAATCTTTATTTAGAAAAAAAATATTATCCAATTAAATAGGGAGTTTTAAAACTTCTTTTCCATGTTGCTAAAAATTAGGATTCGATAACTATTAACCAATTCATTTTGAATTTTAAATTTTAAGTAGCCAATTATATAAATAAGTTCCAAATAAGTCCTAATTAAATATAAGTGGTCACTTTAAAATTTCATTAACTTTAAACTTTTGGATTTAAGATAAATAATATTTATCTATATTTAGCGAGCGTTAATTTCTTTCTATCTTGAACAATATAACAAATATAAGTCATTTAGCAAATTTAAGAATTCACAATTCACAATATTAAATAATAACAACATTAAATTAAGTTGAAAATTGTGATTCTAAATATATGGCACAATTTATAATTTTCAATTTATTTTTTTTTTAAAAATTGAATACAAGATAACTATTATTACTCATAATATACTCAAGTGGATAAATTCAAAGCAACAACCTCTCATTCATATCCATATGTTTTCTAATACAATTCAAATTAAAATTTTAAAATATCCAATACAAACTTTGAGTAAATCTAATATAGCGGTTGTATTAATTAAGATTATTTTTACCTTTAAATCAATTTTATATTATTATATTTTTACACAAATTTAACACTAAAAAATATTTTGAAAATATTTTGATTTTAACTAAAACATATATAGAAAATGTATGAACATGCCATTTAGTTTCATGATATCAAATATTTTATATGAAATATTAGAATTAATAAATTATTAACATAATTTTTTTATTCAAACAACATAAAAAGAACAAAGTACAAACACGTAAAAAATTTGAAGCATCTCATATTTAATCAAGATAAAATAATCATAAAATTAATAGTATCCTTAGAAAAAAATCACCATAATAAATTATAAAACTAAAAGATATAATATTTTAACACAATAAAATAAAGTGTGTACTAATAATATTAATTTAATATGCTCAAATAAATAAGTTAATGATTAATATTATTGTATTATTATAAATTTAATTCTATTATTAAGTGTATAATACATTTTATTAGTTATTTTTAATTATAAAATTATTACATTTTAAATTATCCGCGCATCGCACGGGCATGTATACTAGTTATTGTCAAATTTAGACAATGAACTAAGCTTATATACTGATTCATTTACATAAATATTCCATTATAATATATCAATTTGCAAATTAACATTCTCTAAACAATATTATCTTTATAACAAGTTAAATTTTAAGATTATCGATAAATCAATATAGAAGGTATAAGAATTAAATTTTAAAATACAGAAGAGGTATAGAATAGAGTTTAGTGTAATTAAACCTTAGAGTTTAGTGTGTAGAATAGAGTTTAGGGAGGGGGCAAATTTAGCAGTTGTGGACTCTTTTGTGTGTTTAGGCAATTCCTCCTTTGTTTGTGGTAAGAAAGTTGGAACCACATAATGAAAGGAACTCTTTTTGTATGGTTAAAAATGTTAGCTACTGTTAACGAAAGTTGTAGTACCTATTATGTAGTAAGGCAAGTTGTCACTATCTTTTAACGGAAACTTTCAAAACCAACAAACATTAAGCCTTAATTAGGACTTCATAGCTACAGTTTCACTAATTACAATTCACAATTACACTTTGATTTGCTACGCATTTGTATTCATTGTATTTTTTTAGTTAGTTTCAGAGAAAAAGAGAAACAATACAAATATAAACTGATTTGTATCAATATGAATATATATTAGGAGGAGAGAGGCGAGCAAGATCGAGAAAGGAGGAGAGGGGCGAGCGAGATCGAGAAAGGAGGAGAGGGGCGAGCGAGATCGAGAGAGGAGGAGAGGGGCGAGCGAGATCGAGAGAGGAGGAGAGGGGTTAGCGAGATCAAGAGAGGGAGGAGAGGGGCGAGCGAGATCGAGAGAGGGAGTGTATTCGTTGTATTTTTTTATTAATTTCAAATAAAAAAAATACAAATACAGATTGATTCCTATACAAATACAAGTAATTGATACATAATACAAATACAGTTGAATACAAAATTCTTTTCTCGAATACAATCAATATAAAATATAAATCTCTCACCTATAATTGATTAGATACATTAATACATAATACATTTGACAGAGAGGATGAATTCATATTGTATTCATATGAATTCAAATACATATGATACAAAATACAAATATAATTTTTTCAATACAATTGATATAATATAAAATACAAACTCCCACCTATATATGATTGAATATATATATAGAGAGAGAGGGAGGGGGAGGGGGAGGGGGGGGGGGGGCAAGGGAGAGAGTTTGCTATCAAACCAACACATAGTGGTTTATTGTAACTTTTTTAAACTATAGCTATATTTCATAAATATATTGACATTTTGCCTTGTTCTATAATTTTGGTTTAATGATGCATATTAATCTATAATATAACATGGGTTGTGGTGCACTGGTGGGAGTGTTTCACCCTTAACTAAAGGTTTCGGGTTCGAGCCTTGGGTATGGAGAAAATCATGTTGGGAGCGCCACCCCCGAATGGACCCTGCAGAGCGCGATCCGGATTTAGTCAGAGCTCCAATGAGGGTTCTGGACACCGGGCGAGAAACCAAAAATACTCCGCTTCTACTTTCTACCAAAAAAGAAAAGAAAAGCTTAGATAAATACATACTATATATATATATATATATATATATATATATATATATATATATATATATATATATATAATAGGGTGGGGATTACTTCCTATAAATAGGAGGTAACAAGATTCATTATTTTCATAATTGCTTCCTCAAAGACATGGCAAGTATGATGAGAGCAATATTCATAATATTTTGTTTTCCCATTGCTTATTCTCAAATGGTTATGGAACCATTACTTCCACTTAAAAAGCTCCAACTTCCTTCAGGAACAGTAGGCCCTGAAGCCATCGCTTTTGATATTTTAGGCAACGGACCATACACAAGTGTGGCCGATGGCAGGGTACTCAAATACCAAGGCCCACGTATTGGCTTCACCGATTTTGCTACCACATCACCATTAAGGTAAAAAAAAAAAAATTACTTCCTCTGTCCCAATTTATATGATTTACTTTTCTTTTTAGTCTGTTCCAACAATGGTTCATCGTACGCTTCTGTTTTATTGTCACACAGATTTCTATCATCATTTTGGATCACAAATTATAAAAGTCTTCCTTTCTTTCTTAAACTTAGTGCCGAGTCAAACTACATCACATAAAACGAGATGGAGGGAGTAGTTGTTTCAGAATATTTGTCATTTAAAAAAATAAAGACAGTTAATGATTGACTTCTTCTAATTTTATCTTTAACTTTAACAGTGTAATATTAAATAACATATTAATCTAAATCTAATCAGATCGATAATATATGTAACTCATAAAAGAAAACTTACTTATTCTTCACATATCGAAAGAAGAAGAGTACGATGAACCATGGTTGGAATTTACGGTCGATGGTGGTTTTTCACATTATGTTGGAGCAAGAGAAACTCCCTATACTACAACGTAAAATCTAATTGATTGAGGAGAGATCTCAGTATAGCAACTCCATGTACCACAACCTAAACCCTAATGCATTGAGCAAGTGTAGAATTGTATATTCTCTATATGATGAGCCTTAAATCACCATTTATGGGTATGTCCGAATTTCCTACAAATATATAGAATGAACATTTATTGAGAAATCAATATTAATATGGTGAAAGGTTAAGTCATAAAAGAGAATAAATTAATTAAATACTCTCTTTATTTTTAATTAACAATCACTTTAGCTAAAAATTGTTGTCACAAAATAACCATGATATTTATATAGTGTAACTTACTTTCTTTGTGTTTAGGACAAAGGAGGTATGTGATGGGAAAAATGACCCAAATTTACTAATTAAATGTGGAAGACCCCTTGGCATTGGGTTTTACTATAGAAGTGGTGACCTCTACATAGCTGACATCAATTATGGGCTCTTGGTTGTTGGACGAAACGGAGGCCCTGCTAGACAACTTGTTACGGGCATAGATGGCAACCCTTTTGCCTTTACAAACGCTGTAGACATCGATCAATTAAATGGAGTCGTCTATTTTACAGATTCAGGATCAATATTCCGCGCCACCAGGTTTGTTACTATATTTAAGTGATTTAATGATGTAAGAGTACATGTTAGTTTAACCATAGTTAAGTATTAATTATACTCTATGTGGTAAACACATGTCATGCATGTATTGACTTGATATAAATATCAGGTGTAAATAAGTTTCTATCGTTTATTGAGTATGAATTGATAACCTAGAAAAATAATAAGTGATAAGTTAATTTAACTAGATGAACCCAATTTTTATTTTATTGCATCAAAGTATTGAATTGCCTTTTTATGATTAAAAAAAGTTACAAAAAATATCATGAGAGTCACTAAACTACTCAAATATACCTAAGTATCACATAAAATCTCCAACTTGAAACAAAGAAAACACAGCATATGATGTATTGAATCCACTTTTTGGTTGTGACACTTGGGCAAAATGAATGCCGTTTTTCAAAGAAACAGTTTGTCTACTTTAAAAGTTGAGTGAGAATCCTAAAATTACCATTTTCAGTAGTATCTTTAACGACAATAGTTTAATTGTTTCTAAAAAAAGTTTTTTTTAGAGGCAATTAACTCTCTTTGTAAATGTCCCTATAGTTTATAGTGATATTGAATCCAATGACAACTAACTAATGATGATAAAGGTCTTAACGCTCTTTGTTAATGTGCACATTTATTGCTGTTAAAATTGTTTTTGGTGTGTGGGTAACCTGTTAACACATCAAATTGAATTATACCAACTGTACATATATTTTTTCAACTATGAAAACTCAAATGTATTACTCCCTCTATTTCAAAAAGAATGATCAAATTTCCTTTTTAGTCTATTTCAAAAAGAATGACCCCTTTCCTTTTTTGGCAACACTTTAACTTCAACTTTCCACGTGACACATTTAAGGCCACAAATTAAAGAGCATTTTGGTACAATAAACATAACTTTAAGTTAGAACCACAAGATTAAAAAATTCTTTCTTTTCTTAAACTCCGTTCCAAATCAAACTAGGTCATTCTTTTTTAAACAGATAAAGTATTATTATTACTATTGCATTTACTAGATCCACTTTAATCTTGATCAACTTTTTGCATTTTTGCAGTAACATAACTTTACTCCTTGAAAGCAAAGATACAACAGGGAGATTATTCAAGTATGACATAAGAACAAATCAGGTCACATTACTTCTAAGTGGACTAGCAGGGCCAGCAGGAGTAGCAGTCAGTTTAGATGGTTCATATGTCCTTGTCACAGAATTAATAGCCAACAGAATCAAGAGATTTTGGATCAGAGGCAGAAAAGCTAATACAGCAGAAGTATTTACAAACTTGAATGGATATCCAGATAATATTAAGAGGACAATCTTAGGGGACTATTTTGTGGCTGTAAACGTTGTGAACAATCAATCAATGACTCCACCAAAATTTTCGTTTGCACAAAGGATTAATGTGCTTGGGAATGTTATCGTTTCGCTGAATCTTTCGGCTCAGTATCGTGATTCCATAAGTGAAGTTCAAGAACAATTTGGTAGACTCTATATAGGGTCTTTAAAGGAAGACTTTGTTGGTGTTTATGGAGTTTGAAGTCTTAAGGAAGTCCAAGCACTTTTGCTTTAGAACCTAACTAGCTATAATGATCTCCAATTCCCCCCTTTTATTATATATATACAAATAAATAAGAGACCTAGCTAGTTTATGTTCTATTATTATTTAATAAGTAATAAATAATAATCTTCTATTATATTATATATAATAAAAGAGTGAATAGTCAGTCAATTGACCGATTTGTCCTACTGCTATAACTTTTTTCTATTTATATTTAGTAATTGACAGGAAGTTTAAGAAAATAAAGAAGATTTTTCAGTTTTGTGGTTCTAAAGTAAAATTATATCAAATATATCAAAATTCTCTTTCATCTTGTAACATTAAACATGTCAAGTGGAAAGTTGAGATTAAAATGTTGGCAAAAAAAGAAATGGTTCATTCTATTTTAAACAAACTAAAAAGGAGAGAATGTCATCCTTTTTTTAAATAGAGAAAGCAATAATTAATAATTTAAAATATAATAATAATTTAATTGCCTCTCAAAAAATTTCATGTGCCATATAAATTGAGACAAATTATGTAAGTATAAGAGGTTTACTTAAGGCCAAAGTCATCTGTGGCCCCTCAAAGTTGTCCTCATTATTCATTTAGACACCTCAACTACACCTAGTACCTATTGAACACCTCTACCACTCCAGATTTGAACCGTCTAAGCATTTTTTGCTTACATGGCAAATCGTTTGTGACAATACTAAAAATTTGTCAGAAACGACGGTCAAAAGCGACGAACTGCGTCGTTTTTTTGGTCAAATTCGACGGAAAAGCGACGCAGTCACCTCTGTTGCTTTTTAGCTCGACGCATTTCAAAATGCGACGGACAGCGTCGCTTTTCAAAAAGCGACGGACGGCATCACATTTTTACTTCTTTTTTTTTTGAATTTTTTTTAAAAAAACGACGGAGTCCGTCGCTTTATTTTAATTTTAATTTTTTTTATTTCTAAAAGACGACGCAGTCCGTCGCTTTTCTGAAATTTTAATTTTGAAAATTCCAGAAAAGCGACGGACAAAAGGACACTGTCCGTCGCTTTTCTAGAAATTTAATTTTTAAAAACCCAGAAAAGCGACGGACTAAACCACTCTGTCCGTCGCTTTTATGGGTTTTTAAAAAAATTAACCCCAGAAAAGCGACGGACTAAACCACGCTGTCCGTCGCTTTTTCTGCAATATTTTTTACAGCAAAAACTGGCAGATTCTGCTGCCAACCTGCAAATGCAATTCAATTCAATTCTACACTATTCATCCCAATCAAACACACAATTATAAACAATCTAAACAAAACATAAAACAACAAACTTAAAATAACATTCAAAAGTATCTAAATCATAAATTAAACACTTATAAAGTCTTTTAAAATTCGTTTCAAAATTTCAAAAAGTTCATAAATGTCCAAAGATCTAAACTAGAGAGTGAGATCTACATAAGCATCATCATCACTCTCGTTGTCGGTGTCATCGGGAGCGGAAGTAATAGGTCGACGAGCGAGGTTCATCACTTGTTCTTTGATTTGCTGAACGGTCTCACTCATGCTTGCTTGTTCAGCTACTCTTCTCTGCTCTGACTCTGCTAGTGCCGTTGTAAGTTTAGCTATTTAATCCGACATAGTAGCAATCTGAACACCGTCAAGTGCCTCGGCTTGACATGACGATTCAATACCTTCTAAGCCTAACTGGAGTCGTCTAACATCGTTTCGAGAGCCTAGACCATATCATCTACCCTTATGTGTCCCCCCTGCCACTTTTTCTTTCCAAATCTGGGTGGACAATTCAGGGGTTAATTGGACCGAACTATCTAGATTCTCAGCGACGTACTGATGAAAGTCATTTTGCATATTAAATATAAAAATTGACATCAATATATATACATATCATAAATATATTCACTATTAATATATATTATTCATTGTATGTTCAATAAAATTTCTAACACCGTCAATAAACTCAGGTTTCAAATCAGCACCAGTTTCATAATGCATATTATACATCCACAAATGATGATCCATCTACAAAAATATAGATATTCAATTATATTATAAATAAAATTTAATAATAATTTTACTAGTAGTAGTCCTAAAACTAGTTTAGAATTGACAAAACCACATTATTTAATTTAACTTATTTAAACAACTTAACAACTTTTTAACTTGAACTAGTTTAGTTTTGACTTAATTCCAACAATTAAATCCATCAACAAAACCACATTATTTAATTTAACTTATTTAAACAACTTAGCAACTTTAACTAGTTTAGTTTTGACTTAATACAACAACTAAATCCACCAACTAAACCACATTATTTATTTTAACTTATTTAAACAATTTAACAACTTTAACTAGTTTAGTTTTGACTTAATACAATAACTAAATCCACCAACTAAACCACATTATTTATTTTAACTTATTTAAACAACTTAACAACTTTAACTAGTTTAGTTTTGATTTAATACAACAACTAAATCCACCAACTAAACCACATTATTTATTTTAACTTATTTAAAAACAACTAAAAATAATACAACAACTAAATCCACCAACTAAACCACATTATTTAATTTAACTTATTTAAACAACTTAACAACTTTAACTAGTTTAGTTTTGACTTAATACAACAACTAAATCCACCAACTAAACCACATTATTTATTTTAACTTATTTAAACAACTTAACAACTTTAACTAGTTTAGTTTTGACTTAATACAACAACTAAATCCACCAACTAAACCACATTATTTAATTTAACTTATTTAAACAACTTAACAACTTTTTAACTTGAACTAGTTTAATTTTGATTTAATTCCAACAACTAAATCCATCAACAAAACCACACTATTTAATTTAACTTATTTAAACAACTTAACAACTTTAACTAGTTTAGTTTTGACTTAATACAACACTAAATCCACCAACTAAACCACATTAATTAATTTAACTTATTTAAACAACTTAACAACTTTTTAACTTGAACTAGTTTAGTTTTGACTTAATTCCAACAACTAAATCCATCAACAAAACCACATTATTTAATTTAACTTATTTAAATTTAAAGCTAAGTGTCAACACTAGATGGACATAAATCGATCTTGCAAGAAAATCAATTTTGTCATCAATAGGATTAACTAGTGTTCGTACTGATGCTTAACAAATATATTATTTCTAAATTTAAAGCTAAGTGTCAACACTAGATGGACACAAATCGATCTTGCAAGAAAATCAATTTTGTCATCAATAGGATCAACTAGTGTTGGTACTGATGCTTAACAAATATATTGTTTCTAAATTTAAAGCTAAGTGTCAACACTAGATGGACACAAATCGATCTTGCAAGAAAATCAATTTTGTCATCAATAGGATCAACTAGTGTTGGTACTCATGCTTAACAAATATATTATTTCTAAATTTAAAGCTAAGTGTCAACACTAGATAGACACAAATCGATCTTGCAAGAAAATTAATTTTGTCATCAATAGGATCAACTAGTGTTGGTACTTATGCTTAACAAACAATCGATGGAGACAAAAATATTATCATAAAATTAAAGCTAAATATCAATACTAGATGGACACAAACACATTATTGAAAACAATTGTACTTGAACTTTAGAAATTTAGAAGCACCAACCTTATCTCCTACTTTGATGAAAGAAGCAATATAGTCTTGTATCAACTATTTTAGATGTTGAGCTTCCTCAGTTGCCTAGCACGAAAAGTTCTAAAATTAGTTAAATTTCAAGTTCAAGTTCTAATTTCAAGTTCAAGTTCTAATTCTAAGTTCTAAGTTCAAGTTCTAATTTCAAGTTCTAAGTTCAAAGTTCAAAGTTCAAAGTTCAAAGTTCAAAGTTCAAGTTCAAATTCTACGTTTAAGTTCTAATTTCAAGTTCAAGTTCTAATTTCAAGTTCTAATTTCAAGTTCTAAGTTCAAAGTTCAAGTTCAAATTCTACGTTCAAGTTCTAATTTCAAGTTCAAGTTCTAAGTTTAAGTTCAAATTCTAAGTTCAAGTTCAAGTTCAAGTTCTAAGTTCAAGTTCAAGTTCAAGTTCAAGTTCTAGTTCTAAGTTCACGTTCAAATTCTAATTTCAAGTTCAAGTTCGAAGTTCAAGTTCTAAGTTCAAGTTCTAATTCTAATTTCAAGTTCAAGTTCTAAGTTCTAGTTCTAATTTCAAGTTCTAAGTTCAAGTTCAATTTCTAATTTCAAGTTCGAGTTCTAATTCTTAGTTCAAGTTCAAGTTCTAAGTTCAAGTTCTAAGTTTAACTTCAAATTCTAAGTTCAAGTTCTAAGTTCAAGTTCAAGTTCAAGTTCAAGTTCTAATTTCAAGTTCAAATTCTAAGTTCAAGTTCAAATTCTAATTTCAAGTTCAAGTTCTAAGTTCAAGTTCAAATTCTAAGTTCAAGTTTTAAGTTCAAGTTCAAATTCTAATTTCAAGTTCAAGTTCTAAGTTCAATTTCTAATTTCAAGTTCTAAGTTCAAGTTCAATTCTAAGTTCAAGTTCTAAGTTCAAAGTTCAAGTTCAAATTCTACGTTCAAGTTCTAATTTCAAGTTCAAGTTCTAAGTTTAAGTTCAAATTCTAAGTTCAAGTTCAAGTTCTAAGTTCAAGTTCAAGTTCAAGTTCAAGTTCAAGTTCAAGTTCAAGTTCAAGTTCAAGTTCAAGTTCTAGTTCTAAGTTCAAGTTCAAGTTCTAAGTTCAAGTTCAAATTCTAATTTCAAGTTCAAGTTCTAATTTCAAGTTCTAAGTTCAAGTTCAATTTCTAATTTCAAGTTCAAGTTCTAATTCTAAGTTCAAGTTCTAAGTTCAAGTTCTAATTTCAAGTTCAAGTTCTAAGTTTAATTTCAAATTCTAAGTTCAAGTTCAAGTTCAAGTTCTAAGTTCAAGTTCACGTTCAAATTCTAAGTTCAACTTCAATAGTAATTCAAACTAGTCTTAAAATCACAATTTCAAACTAGTCCTAAAATCCCAAAATCTAACTAGTACTAAAATCCTAAATTCAAACAACTCCTTAAATACCCTAATTCAATCTAATCTTAC